GGGGGAGGAGGCGAGCTGCTAGAGAGAAGTTGGGGGCTGAGATTTGTGGGGTGGGAATGGAAAGGGATGGCGTGCGTATAAAAAAAAGTTGGGAGGGGGGACGCGGAGTCGAGACGGGTGTGGAAGCGTTGCGCGTTCGGGAGTCCCGGGTGTGGCTGGCGGGTGGGTCCAGGCGTGGGTTTTGCGCCGGGTTTTCTTTCCGGATGGGGATGGGGCGAGCACATGGGCGGGATGGTTTGAAATTTGGGAGGGGAGGGGAACGGTCTGCCAAGGCTAGGATGATAGTCTTTGCCTGATCCGAACAGTTTTGTGACGGGAAATGCGAACGTTCACTGCTTGCTGGAGAGCGCGCAGCCATGATTTTGGCTCTCTTTTTTTTGTTTTGGCATGGCAATTCGGACGTTTTCCTCGCAATTACGCTCCCACCGAACGTTCGTCAGGTATTTTGCGTCCTTTATGATTTGATGATGATTGGTGGTTGTATTCTCATGCAAATTTTGTCTCCCCTTGTTTTCTCTTTGTTTCAGTCTGAACTGTTATAGTATTAAACATGCGCCTAGCATTATTGATGGACGTGTGGAGGTGTGTCTCCCGTGGATTTGTCTTTAGTGGATTTGCTCGGATCTATTCGTCGTTCGTCTTCGTTCGTGCATCTTCAAGTTGGATCCTTTTGATCTACACTCTTCATCTACGGTGGTTGCTGTTTTGGTGCGTTGGTTCTATGGGGCCTTAGCACGACGATTTTCCGAGTGTCTACTACAACAAGGTTTGCCCGGCTCCGACGAGGGAGAGGTAATGTCAGCAGCGCGCCTTCGGCTTGCTTCGGTGCTTGCAGTCGTCACTTGATGGTCTATAATCTGGATGTGTTTTTTATTATTTCTAGTGTTCATTGTACTATCATGATTAAAAATGAATAGATTGAAAGTTTTTCCCGTAAAAAAAATTACAACTAGAGGTGAACAATGCGAGGGACAAGAAACCCCACAACAACCCGTGTAGTGTTTTTTCTTTTCTTTTTTTGCAAAGCACGGCCCCTTGTAGTGATTGAAACTACACGATGGAGAAGATGATATTCAAAACGGCTACGCTAAATCTAAGTCGACTGAGATTTAGCAAAATCTCGGTCGATGGCCCTAATGTCTGTGTGTACGTGTACGTTGGCCCAAACGAGCTTTTTTCTTTGTCGCTGCATGGGCCGGTGGAGATGACAGTTCTTTTATTTTTCTTCTGGGCCTTGTTCCTTTTGCTGTGCAGCCCAAGTTTACCAAGAGTGTTTTTGTAGTAATTTTTGTCAGCCTACAAAAAAGGTATTATGTTTTGTTTTTTGTTCTTGCCCTACACAAGTGAGTTTTGCCTGTAGGAGAGGAAGTCACGGTAGCTCCTCTTTTTCCTAAAAGAAATTTTCATTTTCATTTTCATTTTCATTTTTTTCTTTACCTATTTCTTCTTTTTATTGTTTTACTTTTCATTTACTTTTTATAAGTCTTTAACTTTTTATTATTATTTTCTTGTCCCATTTCATATTTTTCGTTTTGTTTTTCTTCTTGTTTATTTAATTTAATTTTTTATTTTGTCCTTGCTTATTAATGTTGTGTTTTATTCTACTTGATTTTAGCATATTTTCCAACTTTCTAGCAGACCTATTTTAGCAACGAAATTGCCTACCAATTTTTTTGTTAATCATTTTCGGTTGCACATCCATCAGATGCTTTGTAAGTAAATGTTGGCTGCGATAGTTGAAATTTTATTAGCCGGATTGCTAAAATTCAGTTGATTGAGTTTAACCGAAGTCCCGGTACACATATATGGCCGTTAGATCACCGTTTCCGTAAGATACACGCAGTACTGCTTGTCTAGTGTTACCCTGACCTGTTTAGTGCCGGCTTGTTTTTTTTAATTACTTTTCTCGTGTTCGGTATTGATGCGCGATGTGATGGTTGTGAGAGGCGTTTTTCATTGTTTTTGCTGGACTTTTCAATTGCCATGTATACACCATATCTATCGTGGAGTACTCGTCTCAGGGAGGGGTCTTCGCCCCTCAGGGTTCTTCAATTGCATATTTTTATTCTGGTTTCCCCTCTTTTAATCCAGATCTCTATTTGTGGATTTATTTATTTATGCATTTTGTTTTTTATGCTTGTATAATATAGGAAATGTTTTTTCTTCGATGAGTGGGGATTTTTGAACCATGTAGACATAAATGTTAGTGGGTATGTTGGTTGTTAGCGGGTTTTTAAACCATGACTTTTGTTTTGTATAGGACCGTCATTTTCATATATATTTTTCTTGTTTATTCGTACAAAAATATTAGCATATATTTTTTCTTGCACCCGGTCGCAAGTGCATGTCTTCTAACCCGACCACAACTGAACTTTTTTGTTCTATCGGAGGGGGCACCGGGAGAGGGGGCGGGCCAGTTGCAAGCCCGACAACAGCCCTTCAACTACATGTCCCCCAACATGGCTGCAACTCGACTTTTGTTTTGTCAGAGGAGACGCCGGGAGAGGGGGCGGGCCAGTTGCAAGCCTAACAATAGCCCCGCAACTACATGTCCCCCAACATGGTTGCAACTCGACTTTTTGTTTCGTCTG